CCCCTTCTTCTTCGTTCGTTCGTTCCTCTTTCTCCTTCGCCTACTGTTCCTTCCTTCTCCTTACCTCTTCATGATGAGGGCTTCCTCTCCTTCATCCCCTGCTTCTCCTCCCTCTTCCTCCTCCTCCTCCTCCTCCTCCTTCTTCTCAACTTGCTCTCCCCCACCCACGGCTCCTTGAATATCCTCCCTCTCCTCTCCGCTTTCTCCTGCCCCGCCGCCTTACTCCTCCTCTCGGGCGCATGCTGGAATGGATTGGGCATCCATGGATCCGTCGAGTGGGCGCAGGACCCACGGATCTGGGATAGCGCCACCCGAAATATGGCGTCAATGCTGCCCGATTCGGCGACGGGGCGCGCCGATTCTGCGCGGAAGCGGAACTCGCTGCTAGTCCACGTTGCCCGGATCCGTGCTCAGGTTCCCCGGGTCCTTCTCCCCCCGCCTCCCCTCCCTGTCCCCCTCACCCTGGCCTTATCGACAGCGGCCTCTGTCTGCTTCTGCTTCGAGTACGCCTCCGCCTCGGCAATGATGCGTGCGCGGTCTGCCTCCGTCTTGGACTTCGCCTCCCGCTGGAGCGCGAGGATCTCCGCCTTCAGTACGGGTTGCCGAAAAACGGAGCGCAAGCTGAGGAACGATGCCCTTTTTGACCCCAAACGCGCCTGCGTGGACGAGGAGCGCCCGAGAGACAGCCACGGAAGGACCTCAGGAACAGCGGGCCCCTTCTGAACCCAAGCTGTTCCTTATGCCAGCGTCCTGGCTGTAGCTGCCCAAGGCAAATGTGCACCATAGCCCCCGCAATTGCGGATGAGAGTGAGGGGCGGCGGGGTCGTCAGCAGTCTGTGAGGCTCTGAAGAAACCCGCCGCTCCTCGCCCCCCCCTCCCATCCCCCCCCCCTTGCGGGCAGCATCACGTTTCCGCGAACGTAGCGCGCTCGGCTTCATGTTCGGGCAGCGTTTGGGGTGGTACTCTTGAGAATGAGTTGCGAGCCTCGCGGAGCAGCGAAGGCGCCGTTCAATGTTCTTCGGGGCGCGTTTACGCCCAGGGGGCGGGGGAGGGGCGGCGGAGGGACGGTGGGTTTCCGTGGGCTTCCTGGGCTGCCGCGAGCTCCCACACGACCGACGTTTCAGCCTCTGTGCTCGGCCCTGCCCGTCGGGTCCCGCTCTCAGGCACCTCTGCTCGCCCGAAGATCGGGTGGTTGCAAGGGGTCCCGCCCGTCCTCGGTTGCCCTTGCCTGTCGGATCTGCGGTTGGTTGCCACAAGTTCCCCCCCTCAAGATTCCCAGTAGGTGAACAGGGTCCCGTCCTCAATGTCCCTGGCCTGCTGGACTAATCACTGCTTGGGACCCGCGCGCTGGCATCATTTTCCATCACATGTTCTGAAGATCCCTGCCTTCTTCTTGGAGACTTCCAGGTCCGCGTCGTTCAGCACCTTTTGCTCCTTCAGCTGCCAATCGGCCTGCAGCTCGGCGATGTCCTTTTTCGTCTGGGCCTCGACCTGCGCCGTCTCCTTTACAGCCTGGTTCTGGATCACCTCCGCATTCTGGCCCGCCGCCATCTCGGCGTTGTCGCACTCCTCCCGCAACTTTTGCTTCCCCTCGTCGTTGTTGAGCTTAAGACGGTCGAAGGACTGCTTCATGTGCTGCATCGTCGTCTTAGATTCGAACAGCGTCTTCTCCTCAAAGTCGTTCGCCATCTCCCGGGGGAGGGTCACGTTCTTCACGGTGAAGTGGTGCACCTTCACGCCGTACCTCTCGAACTTGGTGTTCATCTCGTCGATGATGTGCTGCGTGTTGGTGCCTCGGAGGTCGTGCACTTTCTCCACAGTGATCTCGAAAGCCATCTGCCTGAGCGCCTCGTCCTGCGAAGCGCGCAACAGGTCGTCGAACTTCTCAGGCCCGATGGAGTACACAAAGTCCTTCGCCCTCACGATCTCAAATACCACGAGCACGTCGATATTCACAGTGATAGCATCCTTCGTCTTACAGCCCTTGACTGGCGTGTCGAAAACCATCAGCTGCCTTGACACCAGCCGGTCAACGTTGTTCAGCGGGCTGAAGCAATGGCATCCCGAGGACCACGTGCCCTCTTCCTCGTCACCTTCCACCACGGCCCCGAACTTGGAGACAATCGCGGAAAAGCCGTGAGGGATGGCCACGTAGCACATGGGCACGCAGCAGCAGCAAGTGGCCATGCTCTTCTGGGGCACTAGCGAGACTGGGGTGAATGCGCCATCGATCGACTCCCCGATAATGAAGTGCGCGTCGTCGAGCTTTGATATCTGGAGCTCCACGAGGGTGGTGCCGTCCTTCTTCGGGGCGCCGGGGGAGAAGTAGCCACCGTAAGAGTTGCCCATCTTGGGCAGCTGAGCACTCGCGCGACGCTCTGTCACACGCTTGCCCACGAATCTGCACCACGGGACAGGCTTGTCGAGAGCACCCGACTGGTTCTCCCAAGTCCCCTTCGAGCCAGGACGACTTGATCCCGAATGACCATTGGGGGATGATATAGCAATGTAAGTTCTGGCACGATGCTCATGGACATGCTCCAATATCCCCGGTGAGATGATGTACAGCATGGCTTCATGCAGTACCATGTGGCACAAAATGACTGGGTGGAGTACTACATGATGATATTGAATGTGCGCGCTGGCAGTACATAAACGTTTTCATGTCTACCTTGGAGTCTTTGCGCCCGCGCGCCAGGCCTCCTCTTCCAACTCAACCTTCTCAACCTCCTCTTCCTTCTTCATCCTGCTACTCACCATCCCCTTCTCCCTCCTCCTCACTCCTCTACAGCCTTCTCCTCCTCCTTCTCCATCTGCACTTCCTTCATGGAGACATGAAGAGGGGGGTGAGTGATGGTGGCGGATCGGAAAAAAGAAAGGGAGGAGGCGGTAGAAACACTTGGTGCCCCGCCCATTGCTTGTGTCTCCTCCCTCTCCTCCTCACCACCTTCCTCGTCTACGCACCTCCTCCTCCTCCTCCTCCTCCTCCATTTCCTCCTCCTCCTCCTCCTCTTCTTCCTCATTTTCTCCTCCTCCTCTTTCTCCTCCTCCTTCTCCTCCTCCTTCTCCTCCTCCTCCTCCTCCTCCTCCTCCTCCTCCTCCTCCTCCTCTCTCATCCTCTCTTGTCCTGGTCGTCCTCCACCAGCTCCCTCTTCCCCCTCTCCCCCCTTCTGCTCTATCTGTCTCTCCCATCCTCCTCTCCTCGACTGGTTCTTTCCCCCCCCTCCCCTTCCCCGCCCACCTGCTCCGTATCATCCTCCTCCTCTTCCATCTCTTCATCCTGCTCCTTTTCAACTGGTCCTTGCAATAGCCAACCTGACCCTCCTTCTTCTCCTCTTCCATATATTCCTCGTCTTCCTCCTCCTCCTCCTCCTCCTCCTCCTCCTCCTCCTCCTCCTCCTCCTCCTCTCTCCTCTCTCGTCCTCCCCCGTCCTCCTTGGTTTGCTGATCCCGCTGGCTGCTGCAATTGCTCCTGTTCCCGCCTCTGCTCTCTGCCTGTTTTTCCTGCCGCTGCTTCTCCCCCCACCCTTCCTGACCATGCTTCTGCTCCGTCTGTCGTCTCCCCCCCCCTCTTCCTCCTCCTCCTCCTCCTCCTCCTCCTCCTCCTCCTCCTTCTGCTCGTTTTCCTCTCTCCTCTCTCGTCCTCGCCCGTCCTCCTTGTTCTGGTCCCACTGGCTGTTGCAGTTGCTCATGTTCCTGCCTCTGCTTCTATGCCTGCTTCTCCTGTCGCTGCTGATCCTCCCCCCTCTTCCTCATCATGTAATGCTCCTCTGTCCCTCCCCCTCCTCCTCCTCCTCCTCCTCCTCCTCCTTCATCCCTCCTCCTCCTCCTCCTCACTCCTCCGTCTCCCCCTCCTCCTCTCCTCCTCCTCCTCCTCCTTCCCCTCCTCCTCCTCTCTTCCTCCTCCTCCTCCGTCCTCCTCCTCCTCCTCCTCCTCCTCCTTCACCTCCTCCTCCTCCTCCTCCTTCTCATCCTCCCCCTCCTCCGTCTCCTCCTCCTGCCTCGTCTCCCCCTCCCCTCCCCCTCCCCCTCCCCCCTCCCCCTCCCCCTCCCCCTCCCCCTACCGCCTCCCCCTCCTCCTCCCTCCTCCGCCTCCTCCTCCTCCTCCTCCTCCTCCTCCTCCTCCTCCTCCTCCCTCTTCCTCCTCCCCTCCTCCTCCTCCTCCTTCTCCTCCTCCTCCTCCTCCTCCTCCTCCTTCTCCTCCTCCTCCTCCTCTCCCCCTCCGTCGCCCCCTCCGTCTCCCCCTCCCCCTCCCCCGGCGTCCCCCCTCACCCCTCCCTTCCGCCCTCCTCCTCTCCTCGCTCCTCCTCCGCTCCTCCCTCCTCCCCTCCTCATCATCATCATCATCATCATCATCAGCATCAGCATCAATCATCAGCATCACATCAGCATCATCATCATCACCATCACCATCATCATGCATTACATCATCATCATCTCACCACCGACCACCACCACCGCCACCACCACCATCATCACATCCATCATCATCATCATCATCATCATCATCATCATCATCATCAATCATCCATCTCATCATTATCATCTCATCAGCATCATCAGCATCATCATCATCAGCAGCAGCGCAAGCATCAGCATCATCAGCAGCATCTCCATCATCATCATCATCATCATCATCATCATCATCATCATCATCATCATCATCATCATCATCATCATCATCATCATCATCATCATCAGCATCAGCATCATCATCATCATCATCATCATCATCATCATCATCATCATCATCATCATCATCCTTCCCTTTCCTCCTCCTCCTGCTCCTGCTCCTCCTGCTCCTCGTCCTCCTCCTCCTTTCTCCTCTCTCCTCTCTCCTCTTTCCTCTTTCCTCTCTCCTCTCTCCTCTCTCCTCTCTCCTCTCTCCTCTTTCCTCTCTCCTCTCTCCTCTCTCCTCTCTCCTCTCTCCTCTCTCTCCTCTCTCCTCTCCCTCTTCTCCTCTCCTCCTCTCCTCATCCTCCTCCACCTCCTACTCCTCCTCCTCCTCCTCCTCCTCATCATCATCATCATCAGCAGCATCAGCATCAGCATCATCATCCTTCTCATCCTCCTCCTCTTCCTCCCCCTCCTCCTCCACGCATCCTCATCCTTCTCTTCCTCCTTCGCCTGTCCCTTGTGATCCTCCACATCATCCACTACCTTCAACATCATCATACTGCTCCTCGTCCTTGTGCACCTTCTCTTAAGCCGCCTTCTCCTCCTCCTCCTCCTCCTCCTTCTCCTCCTCTTCCTTCTCCTCCTCCTCCTCCTCCTCCTCCTCCTCCTCCTGTTCCCTCCTCCCTCCTCCTCCTCCTTATCCCCATCCCCCCCCAGCCCATCCCCATCCGCGCATCTCTCTCCCTCACCAATCCCGCTTCCCACTCGCTCCCCCATCACGCTCCCGCTCCCTCGTCTCGCCCTTGCCCCTGCTCCTCCGCGTCCCTTTCGGCACCCCCCTCGCCTCCTCCTCCTCTGCTGTGACTCTGGCTCCTCTCCCCCCGCTCATGGTCGAAGACCCCCCTCCCCCCCTCCCCCATTTGCCTCCTCCCTGCTTCCCCTGCCTCCAGCTGCCGCCCCGGTCCGAGGTGTTTTGGACTGCTCCAGGAGCAGCGCACCTCGCGCCGCCGGGCAGCTGCCATGCGCGCCGGCCGCCTCGCCTCGCCCCTGGCGCTGCTGCCAGGCGAGCCGCGGGCCAGCCGCGCGACACGAGCCCTTCCCGCGGGCTCGCGAGCGGCGCACGCAGGCGCGTGAGGAGCTGCAGGAGGCTACGAGGGTTGCCCGATGGCGTGGCGGCCCGTGCGAGGCTGCCCGATGGCGTGGCGGCCCTCCTGGCAGCGCCAGGCTGACATTCGATTGCTGGGCCCGTCGGCAGCCCGCCGCCTCGCCCGCCGCCGCCGCCGCGACGCGCTCGACGCTTGGCTGCGCGGCACGGGCACCTGGCAGCGCGGCGCCGGCTGGCAGTACGGCGGCGACTGGCACTGCGGCGGCGACTGGCATCACGGCGACGTGGGCGTCAAGCTCCAGCAGCTCGCCGAGGCGGTCCGCAGGATCGAGGATGCCCTGGTGCGCGGCGAGGCGCATCCCGACGCCAAGAGCGGGCCGACGCGCCGCGAGGCGTCTCCCGCTGCTGGCATGAACGCCGAGGCGAAGTGGTGCGAGCCGCGGACGGGCCAGGCCGCCGTCGGCATGAGGGCCGAGGCGCCCATGTACGCGCCGCTCCCCGCGACGGCGGGAGTCCCTGTACCCGCGCAGGTCTTGAAGGGCGCTGCGGCGACGGCGGCCACTTGGTGTTGGCTGCCAGAGGCGCTGCCGCCCCCAGCTTCCGCAGCGCCAGTATGGTGGCCTCAGCCGTCGCCTGCTGCCTCGGAGGCTCCGTCCGAGCTGCAGGTTCGTGGAGTTCCTGGTGCTGGACCCGTACCTGCTCGTGGTGTTCTCGTACCCGACCGTGCTGGTCATGCTGGTGTGCCGGAGCTGGTGGCTGCGGCTGCGGGCGGGGCCCGTGCCCGTGATCGTGCTCATGATGCTGCTGCTGAGCCACTAGCGGCTCGCAGGCCAGAGCCGCCGCCGCCGCCAACAGGACCTCCGCCGTTTTCGCCGAGGTTGATGTCATCGTCTTCGGCCCTGCTACGGCCTCCACGAGATCTGCCGCCGCCACCAGCAGCCGACGTTCGTGCGGACCATCGTGGAGATTGCAGGTACGTGCTACCCGCTGCTGCTGCTGCCGCTGGAGCTCCTGGTGGTGTTGGCCACGCCTCTCGTGATCGCGCGCTCCGCCTTGTGACGCGTCTGCCTGCTGGTGCTTTCGGCGCTGGTGCTGCCGAAGCCAGTGGTCATGGGCTTCCGCTGGCCGGGCAGGGGCAGGCCACAGCCGCAGTCGTGGCTTTCGAGGCCCATTGCAAGGCGTCCACACGCCGTGCTGCGTGGGCCAGGCGTCGCCCGACCGCTGTGCGCCAGGCCGAGGCCGACAGCCTGGCCGTGCCCGCGCCACAGGCAGCGACCGAGCGAGAGGCAGCCGAGCGCGCCGCAGAGGCCCTCGACGAGGTGGTCCCCGTCCCTGCTGCTGCCTCGGCGCGGCATCCGGAGGCTGAGCGCGTGGCCGTGCCGGACACCCTGGGACAGCCCGTTGGCTCCCGCGCGGCACGCGATGACCAGAGGAGCCGGAGGATCGGTGACGCTGTCGCTGCTCAAGGCGGCATCGAAGCCGCCAGAGCCGCCATGGTTGCCGCATATGCGGCCATCGGCATCCATATATAGTATCACGCTTGATAGCTATATGTCCTCCTCGCAGCCTCCATCTCGCCCTCCCTCCTTCAGCCACTCTGTTGTCGCGGAGGGCCGGCGATCGATAGAGGCGACCGTTGAGGGCCGGCGAGCGAGTTCAGCGATATCTCTGCAGCATCGCTCTCTGGCCCAGTTGTTCCCGAGCGATTGCGTGGTAACTCCCGTTGTGGTGCCTCCACGCGTCACACATGTCATTTTTGCCGAGCTCGGCCGATAGACAGGATGAGGATGAGAGGAGGAGGGTAGGAGGGAAAGAGATAGGATTCCCGCTAGTGCTGCTCTCTGTCAGCTGTACCGTCCTCCCTCTCTCCTCGTCCATCCGCCTCAGCCTTTCGATCACCCCCCGATTCAGCCCGATTCTGCCATACACCGCCGCAGCGCTTTTTCCAGCAACGGTTCTCGTACGCCTGACCCGGGTGTGTGTAGCGATTTGCGCCAGTGCTCTCAGAGCAGCCAGAGCGTTTGCACCCGTGCGGCACACCTTTCTTAGCTGGGGCATGTCCGCTGCTGTTTCGTGCGCTTCGCGTGTGGCTTATAGGCATGTGTATACGGGGGGATGATGGATCAGGATTCGGGGGGATGATGGGATGGTGGATTCTGCTCCGGCTGGTACCTGGGCCGTGCTGCCACGGCCCAGACGTGCCTAGGCGCCGACGCCTGGCCTTAGCAGTTGTTGCCGCCCCTCCCTCCCGCGGTTAGCGCGAAGGTAATCGATTTTGCTTGCCTGCGCCGTCGTCGTTCGTCCGTGTCGCGAGGGTGCGAAGTTCCTTTCCACGCTCAGGTACGAGATGTCACGACATCACGAGAGCAAAGCAGTTCGGTCTGCGTCCCAGCCTTCGCTCAGCTCCGTGCTACGAGAGCAGGAGGAGTTCGGTCTGTGTCCCAGCCCTCTTTCTCCCTCTCACATACATCACATTCCTCCCTCCCTCCTTCCCCCCTTCCCCTCAGCCGAGTGCCCTGGACGAGGCACAGCACGTCATATTTGTCGCCGCCTTTAGCGTTCGCCGTCCAGTCGCCTATTATGGGGGGTAGTACGGAGAGGTGTGATGTGGTTTGGGGGGGCCTGGACTCCTTGCTTCGGTTCGACGCGTTCCGTCCGCTCTGTCGCGGGGGTCCCCTCGTACTGTACTGTACTTGTAGACTTGGTGCCCGTGCAGAGTTTGCGAGCCTCGCCGTTTAGCATAGCCACACGAGTTGACTGTGCTGACCGCCTCTGCTAGCCGCAGCGCCGCCATCAGCTGACAGGCCATACGCTTCATCAGCAGCGCAATCCAAAAATCCCCTGCCTCCCCCCTTGGCCGCCTCACTGCCCTCATGCCTTCCTGCCTCGGCCCGTCCTTCTCGACACTCGCTCCTCCCCTGCGCCTGCCCGGGGGCCGCCCGCCAGCCCGGTGTGCTCGCCCCCTCCGCCCTCGGGGCGGCCGCCGCTCGCACCAGGCAGGGCCTGCCCCGGAGGCACCCCCCCCGCCCTGCTGAAGCAGCTGCCCTCCCTCCTCCGCACTCCGATCCGCCGTCTTTTTACACTTGAGAACGGCACCCTGCCCACTCCATCGTTGCGCGCGCCCTCCTCCGCTCCAGCCTCCCAGCCTCCCAGCGTAACCAGGCTCCTCCCAACTTGATCAGCGCGTCGCCAATGCGGAACAAACAACTCCTCCGTCCCATCCTCCTCTCCTGCCCCTCCTGCCCCCCCTCTCCTCTCCCCTCCTCCCCTCCAACTCCACCTCTCCCGATCCTCCCCTCCCAATCTTCCCCTCCTCCCTCCTCGCCTCCCCATCCTCCCCTCCCCATCCTCCCCGCCCCTTCTCCCCATCCTCCCCTCCACTCCCCAGCCTCCCCTCCCCCTCCTGCCCTCCCCCTCCCCCTCCCCCTCCTCCCCTCCTCCTCGTCCCCCTCCCCCCTCCCGCTCTCGCTGGCCCTCTCCCCGCCTCCCGCCCTCCCCCTGCCTCCCGCCCCCTCCCTCCCTCCCTCCCTCCCTCCGCCCCGGCCTCTCCTGCCCCCCGCCTCTGCGAAGGGGCCCAGGGACACACTCGTCGCCCCCTCTCCGCTTCATGTTTTCCCATACTCTCGTGGGAATGGACGATTGTTTGTGCCTGTGCCTACTTTCCCCTCCGAAAGCCTCTACTCCTCTCCCCGGGCCCCACGTCCCCAGGCCGCCTCCTTCTCCCCCCCCCCGCCTCTTCCCGAAGACCTCCGAGGACGCACAGAACAGTCAGAACACCTGCCGAAGCCCGTCGACGACCCCGTCGCCCTCTCCCTCCCCCCCGTTCCACCCCTGCGCGCGGATGGAGGCTGGCGGAGACCTGGCGTCCGCTGCAGCACTGCCCACCGCACGGCCGTGGCACCCGCTGCGACCCTCATTCTTGAAGGGGAATTCGGGGATGGACAGAACCCCCTTTAGTAAAACGTGGTTTAGTGAAAACGACCTCGGGCCTAAACCTGGCGGGCGCAAGCCTGGAAAATGACGGCCGCGGCGCCCTCTCGAGAACCGAAAACGGGCAATTCACTAAACGACGTGTCAGGGTGGGGGCTCTGTCCACCCCCGAGGAATGCGAGTGTGGTGGGGGGGCGGCTCAGGGTTGAAACCGTTTCGACCTGATGTTGCCCCCGAGTCCCGCTCACTCGGCGTCCATGGGATTGCCGACCGGCCACGCGAAGGCCAGCCCCGCGTCCAGGGCGTCCAGCGCGGCCATGTCCTCGGGCTCCACTTCGAAGGCGAAGGGCGCCGCCAGGTTGGCCTAGAGGACGACAAGACGGCATGAGCACAAACTTGGACGGTCCGCGCGGACTTCCAGGATCTGCGCCGGACCCCCCTCTCTGGCGCGCGGAGCGCGCGAGGGGCGGCGCCGCCAGAGGGGTCCAGCACAGATCCAAGAGATCCGCGCGGACCGTCGACAGTGGACGGTCTGGAACTTTTGCGTAGCGTGTCGCGGCGGCGTGCCCGAAGACACGCTATACCCTGCGAGCGGATAATTAGCTTGTCGCTCCGCTCCGCGGGGCGAGGGGCTCGGGAAGGCTCGGGACGTTGGCGCTTGGAAGTGGGGGCGTGGATAGCGTGTCGCGCCGAAGCGTGGTGGGCCAGAACCGGTGGAGCGACACACCGAGCCACGATTCCTGACCGCACACGTATGCCATGCTGTTTGTTCTTCGACGGCCTCGATTCGCCCGCGGTCGGTCGACTTGGGCAGCACAGGGTATCCGTGCTGCACGGCCCAGCGGAGCAGGAGCGCCGGCTCCTCGACGCCGTACTTGTCCGCGATGCGCCTCTGGACAGCGAGGTGCCCACAGTGCGCTTCAGTCTTCGAGCTCTTTAGGAGGACCAAAAAGCAGCATGAACATGATTTCCCGCAGGTCCGAGCGGATATCTTGGATCGAGGCTGGAGCCCTCTCCACTGGCGCGCGGAGCGCGCCAGGGGCTGTGTCGGAGGCGCCGCCTGGGGCACCCAGCGCCGATCCACAAGATCCACGCGGAGCTCCGAAAGTTTATGTTCATGCAGTGTTTTCGTCTTCGACTGCTGTCGGCTACGCTCAAGAGTGACCCTCGGCAAGAGCGGCCTGTCGTGCGCGGCCTGCCGATCGTTGCTCGCGATGCGAGAGCAGCGGCTTGCGTGCTCGGGCGTGCCCCCACCGCGCGACCCCCGATGACATCGCACCAAAGGTCACTCTGGCGAAGGGTCACTCTGACGTGTAGCCGATATGGCCGGGCTGCCCCGCCCTCCAGCTCGAGACCGGGGCCAGCGACGAATAGGCAATGGGCACGCAGGAGATCTCGGCGAGGTACTCGAGCAGTCCAGGCTGGTACTTGCTGTAGGCGTTGAGCGGGTGGAGCTCGATCTGGTTGGCCGCTGGTGCTGGCAGCCCAGCCGCGAGCAGCTCCTCGATGTGGCGCCGGCTATAATTCGACACGCCGATCTCCTTCACGAGCCCAGCCTTCTGCGCGTCTACCAGCGCAGTGTACTGTCTGACCCTGTCTGCGGACGGAGGGAACGGGTGGTGCAGGAGGATGGTCGGGGGGTGCTAGAAGGAGTCCTGGCCCGAGGTGCCTCCAGCTCATCACGCCCTGCTGCTGCCCCTGGGGCCCCTGGGGGGGGGTGCTCTGCAGGCCGCAGGGAGCTTCCTGGAAATCCTGGCGGCACCGTGGGTCAGGGACACCTTTGGCTCCACCCGAGATGAGGTCCACGTAGGGTGTGTCCAATTTCTTGAGCTGGTTCCTGATGCTCTGCAGCACGCCGTCGTAGCTCTTGGGGGGGGCGCCGAACTTACCGTCTGGCGAGACCTTGTCTGTGATGAACACGCTTTCCCGCGGCAGGCCAGAGGCCTTCAATGCCCTTCCGATGGCGCTGTGGTTAGCGTAGAACTCGGCCGTGTCGATGTGTCGGTAGCCCGCCTCCAACGCCCAAGTGACCGGCTGCTCACAATCCTCGTCGGCAATCAGGTACGTACCGAAACCCACTATGGGCATCAACGAGCCGCCAACCCGAATCCTGCTGGGCTGGCCTTGCTCCTGCTGATCATGCTGGCCATGCTCCTGCTTCTCCCCAGCCTCGTCGCTCCTCTTACGCTTCGGCGCCGCCACAGCGTTCCCTTCAAAGCCCTCATTGATAATGCTGGGCATGGTCAATCTATACAGCCCAGAAGCATTGAGCAACTCACGTCCGAACGCGTACGGGGTGGCCTGGCAAATCCACCACAGCCAAGTGGACCACAGAAGGGCGCTGCACCCACGCTCCGCCTCCTCAGTTTCGCGGATATCCCTCTTCTCCTCCTCCTCCTCCTCCTCCTCCTCCTCCTCCTCCTTCGTCTCCCCTCTTCCCCATTCCTCCTCATTCTCAGCATCTTCTCCTACTCAACAACATATTCCTCCCACCCCTCACTATCTCCCAACTCCTCATTATCCTCCTCATCCTCCTCCCAATCTCCCTCATTACTGCTCAACCTCTCCACCCTCCCCGTCCCCATTTTCCTCCTCGTCGTCCTCCTCAATCCCCCATCTCCTCTTGACCCGCATGTTCATGCCCATCCTCCTCCTCCTCCTCCAGATTCCAGATCCTTCTCACCGCATTAATCTTCAGCCTCACTCTCCGCAGCCTCAACCTCATCCTCATGTTCCTCCCCCCATTCACCTCGCCTCTGCCCTCCCCCCACGTTCCCCAAAGAAGCGCGCGCCTCGAAATAAGCCTGCCAACATCTTAACAACACCTGCTGCTAGACCTTTCCTGGTCCGCCCCGGACCTGCATGCCAGCACACGTTGAATAGTGGCAAAAAGAGACCCCCTGGAGTCCATTGCGTCCAGAACGCGTCGACACCGTGGCCCCACTAACAAATGCGGTGTTGGGGGTCTTTGGGGCCGCTTTAGAACCGTATTGAGGGCCTCCTTGGTCGTCTTGGGAGTCTCTCTGGGCCGTTTTGGATCTGGCTTGGGGGTCTCTTGGGCTATCTTGGGGCCTCTCCGGACTGGAGTCGTCCTGGGCCCATCGCAAGCCGTCTTGGGGGATCTCTTGAGCCGTCTTGTGCCCCTTCGGGGGCCCTCTTGGCCTGTCTTGAGCCCGTCTGAAGGCCACCTTGAGCCGTTCTGGGCCCGTCTTGGGACCTTCCTGGGGCCCTCTTGGGGCTTTTTTGGGCCGTCTCAGGACGTCCTTGGGGGCCTCTTAGCCCGTCGTGAATACCCTGAGAAGCGGCAAGGCAAATATGCGAATGTCACAAACACAAATGGTAAGTTATTGATTATTGTATCCTGGGGGAGGCTCCGGGGGGCGGTCTTCAGGCTCCCCAGGCCCGTCAAGGGAGCTGCTTTGGCCATCTGCAGTGGAAGTGTTCGAGCTGCCCTTCGACGATGCTGGGCCGCTTTGGTCGCTCATTTCTGACCTCCCGAACTGCTTTAAGCCGCAAAGGGGAAACCCGGAAGGCCCTGGAGGGGGTGCAGATTTCCAGCCAGGCCCCAGGTGCTCTGGCAAACGATTCCCCTAACTGCGCTTGCACCTAGGAGGGGTTCTCATTTTGTCTGAAGAGCTGGATGGGTATTTCGGATGTTCGCCACGTTGCCAACCGTGCCGCCTCGTGGGCGCCTCGCGGGCGCCCCGCGCGTGGGAGCTATGCAGAGGCTGCGCCATGCTGCCGCCCGTACCGCCTCATGGTCGCCTCGCGGGCGCCCAGCGCGTGGCTGGTATGCCGAGGCTGAGCCACGTTGCCGCCCGTGCCGCGTCCTGGGCGCCTCGTGGGCGACCCGGGCGGTGGAGGGGTGGGTTTCCCGAGGCTCCGCTACTTTGCCGGCCGTGCCGCCCCGTGGGCGCCTCGTGGGCGTCGGGTGCCTGATGGCTTACATCACACAAATAGAGAGTACACAGCGTAGCTTACAACACATAGCTTGTACCCCACAGCTTCCACCTCCAGTTCAAAACTCCTAGCTTAAACGCCATAGCACACGGCCTAAACCACACAGCTTACACAGCACAACCCCCATAGCTCACACCACATAGCTTAGGCCACATAGCCGCCGCCACAAAGCTTCGCCGCACAGCTGCTACGCGTTGCGAAGAGATGCGGTTTGGGGTTCACGCTGGCTAAGATTTAGGCAATTATGGCCCATTGGGGGCCGTTTGGGGATCTCTTTGTGGGCTCCGAAGGGTCTTTGGTGTTTCGTGGGGGTGTCTTGGGAAGCCTCGTTGGAGCCTCTTGGGCCGTCATGGGGGCCTCTGGGGGCCTCTTGGGGCAGCTTTGGGCGCCTCTTGGGGGCATCATGGGGCCGTCTTGGGGGGCTACGCTGATACCTCGGAAGGCTATGGGAGGCTAGAAGGGGAGAAGGCCGATATCATTGATTTCCCATTGCTTTTCCCCCCAAAAGAAATGCGGGTTCCCCTGGACCTCCTGGGGAGCTCTGGGGGCTATCCTAGGCTCTCCTGGGGGCTCCTTGGGCCGTTTGGGAGCCTATTGGTAGGCGCCTCGGGGGATCTGAAATGCCTCTTGGTGGCGTTTTCGGGGGCCTCGTGGGGACCTTTGGGGCGTCATAGGGGCCTCTTGGGGCCTCTTGGGGCGGCTTTGGGTGTCTCGGTGTATGATTTGGGCGTCTTGGGAGCCAGGTTGAAGCCTCAAAAATGCGTCGGAGGCGAAACAGATAAAAAGTCTAAACTGATCGAACTCCCGTTTTCAAAACTAATGTTTATATTATACACACATGCTAGAACTACGCGCGCTTAGCGCGATTTGGTTCTGGCGAGGCGCAAGCAGAGGATTTGCGGTGAAACCATGGGGGTGGAAGTAGGCGCAGGACAACCGAGGGTTTACATAATATTCGCTGAGGACGGGGAGCCATGTGTAATGAGGACACGCAAAAACAACCACAGTTGTGAGGGAGTGAAAAATATAGGGACGCCTGACAAACAAAAGAAAGGAGGTCTGCCTCCCGGCAGCCTCTTGAGGGCTCTCTGGGAGCCCTCCACACGCGTCTTGGAGGCCTCTTGGGCCGTCTTGGTGCCATCTAAAGCCGACTTGGAGTGCTCTGGGGTCGTCTCGGACTCCTTGGGGGCCGCCCTGAGGGCGTCCTGGAGCCAGCGCGGGCGGTCCTGATATACATCTTTTTACCTAACAGCGAAGACTGATAGGTTTCTAGTTGACTCAAAAGAGCTCACAGATCACTCCACAGGGGGGTCCGGGCAGGCGTTGGGAGTTGCCGGCCGGGCCTGTGCCGGGCTCGTTTTTCACAAACAGTCACACACTTCGTGCTCGTCGACCTCTCAGAACCCCATTCCCAGGCCACATTCTGAATAACCGGATGCAACAGTCACACACTTCGTGCTCTTCGACCTCCCAGAACTCCATTCCCGGGCCACATTTTGAATGCCCGGAGCCAACTGTAGGCCACTTCGTGCTCTTCGAGTCCCAGAACTCCATTCCCGGGCCACATTTTGAATGCCCGGAGCCAACTGTAGGCCACTTCGTGGTCTTCGAGTTCCCAGAACTCCATTCCCGGGCCACATTTTGAATGCCCGGAGCCAACTGTAGGCCACTTCGTGCTCTTCGAGTTCCCAGAACTCCATTCCCGGGCCACATTTTGAATGCCCGGAGCCAACTGTAGGCCACTTCGTGCTCTTCGAGTTCCCAGAACTCCATTCCCGGGCCACATTTTGAATGCCCGGAGCCAACTGTAGGCCACTTCGTGCTCTTCGAGTTCCCAGAACTCCATTCCCGGGCCGCATTTTGATGCTGATGCTGAGGCATGAGGCTGAGGCTGAGGCTGAGGCAGGCTGAGGCTGAGGCTGAGGCAGGCTGAGGCTGAGGCAGGCTGAGGCTGAGGCTGAGGCTGAGGCTGAGGAGGCTGAGGCTGAGGCTGAGGCTGAGGCTGAGGCTGAGGCTGAGGCTGAGGGCTGAGGCTGAGGCTGCAGGCTGAGGCTGAGGCTGAGGCAGGCTGAGGCTGAGGCTGAGGCAGGCTGATGCTGAGGCAGGCTGAGGCTGAGGCTGAGGCTGAGGATGCAGGCTGAGGCTGAGGCAGAGGCTGAGGCTGAAGGCAGACTGAGGCTGAGGCTGAAGCAGGCTGAGGCTGAGGCTGAGGCAGGCTGAGGCTGAGGCTGAGGCAGGCTGATACTGAGGCAGGCTGAGGCTGTGACTGCGACTGCCGCTGCCACTGCGACTGTCATCGCGAATGCGACTGCGACTGCGAGAACAGCAGAACTCTACAACTGGATTCTGGATTTTCATCTGAATCTTAAGGGGAATGCTTCCATATATGCTTCTACACATCGCTGTTAGGTTGCTTTGCCGGGATAATTCATATATATATGTATATATGTATGTATGTATGTATGTATGTATGTATGTATGTATGTATGTATGTATGTATGTATGTATGTGTGTATGTATGTATGTATGTATGTATGTATGTATGTATGTATGTATGTATGTATGTATGTATGTATGTATGGATGTATGTATGTATGTATACATGTAAACCTACAAACATATACACATATATGTACATGTACATATGTTTACGTATGTATTGATGGATTGAGGTATGTATTCCTTTGTGTCTATGCATTTTGTATATATATATATATATATATATATGTATAAACATATTTGTATACAAACATATGTATATGTATACGTTGGTGCATGCGTGCACGTACATGTCAATGTCTACATCTATTTGTGTATATATGCATATGTATATATATATAAATGTATGTATATGTGTGTGCGTGTGGGGATGGGGTCCTGGAGCAGAGAGAGAGAGGGAGAGGCTCTTGAATCATGATAACCCCTGTACGTGTGTATATATACATATATATATATATACAAACATATCTACATATATAAACCCATCGAGCGCGCTTCCCGCGCGCTCAGGTTCTAACAGGCCCCAGGCCTTGACGAACTTCACTGCTCCACTGAAGTAGTGGACCACAGTCCACGCATGCCAATCTGCATTCCGAAAGGCCTTCGGAGAAAATGGTTGTCTAGGGGGGCGGAGGCCGGATGAATCGGGTTCCCAGAAGGCCTTCTGGGAGCATGGGTTTGGGGGGCGTCTTGGGGAGCCTGTCGGGGCGTGCCGTCGTCGCCGTCGTCGCCGTCGTCGTAATGTCGTCGTCGCCTATTGGGGCGCGCCGTCGTCGTCGTCG